GATTCCATCTTTGTTCTGTCATTCTTTGGAAACTTGCATTCATATTCATGGACCACTGGTCCTTTTAATTAGAACCAAGACGGTATGTTGGCTTTCTACGTCATTGATTCCACAGCACCACAAATACTAAAAGAATAATATTGACAATGGTAAAATTATGCTTTGGACATCTGCTTCACCGTAAATTATATTGTATCTGTTTCCTGACAAAAGAAAATATCCAACTGTGTTTTTCATAGATTATGAACAAACATGCTGCTAAATCATAGAAAATTGTGCTTGCCAAGCACTAGTACCATCTGCAAAATGAAAATTATTTTTAAATCTACCTGAAAAGCAATGCAATCGAGAATAAAAAGTATTACTTGTCAGTTTAACTTCCAAGAAAATGTGGTAAACTGACATTTCTATGTGTCCAAATATAAATTGTAAGTATTTACCTGTAAAGGGAGAAAAATTCTCTCTCCCTAATTATTAAGAATTTTGAAGCTTAGGGACAGGGATTTAGCTCAGCTGTTCCGGCGCCTGCCTCAAAAGCATAAGGTCCCAAGTTCAATCTCTGGTACCAGAAAAAAAAAAAATAAGAATTTTGAAGTTTACTTCAGGGAAAATTATTGTAGTCAATAAGTTTTGTCTTCAACATAAAATACGCATTTGGCCTCGAGTAATGTGAACACATAGACCTCAGCAGTGCAAACCTTAGTGTTAAGAAGGCCTTTCTCTGCCGGGTATGTGGCCATGTGCCTGCAACCCCAGGACCTTAGGAAGTGCTGCCCCAGCCTGGGCAGCTTAATCAGGCAGAAGGCCCTGGCCCAAGCATAAGAAGTGCGGAGAAGGGTGGAGCTCATGTGAAGGCCTTAAGTTCAAACCCTAGTAATGAAAACAATTAAAATCTAAAAAGAAAGCATTCTTCAACTGGCCTTAAGGGATCAGTGATCTTACAGTCAGCAAGGAGGAAGCACATTTTCATTTGCGAAGAGAACTCTGAAACTAACAATTCGGAACACGAACAGGCAGAGTCTAGAGCAACTGACCAAGAGTGGAATGAGGGTAACTCAGTGTTTATTGAGCAACAACTCTGTCCAGGTCCTCATGCTTGCCAATGTATCATCATGTCACCTGAATTCTACACTGGGAATTAAATACATATTAATTTAACTCCATAACGAGTGTTCTTTACTATACTTGCTCTAAGACTAATAAGAAAACTTTAACTAGTGAAGACTTATTTCATAGCAAGCTCACATATCTCACTTAGGCCTGCCAATAATGCTGCAAAAATTTTAACTATTTTGAAGATGAGAAAATCAAGGTCTAGAAAGTGACTCTCCCACTTTCATGATTTAAATGGCAAAAATGTCTAGCTCTCAAGGTCGTTTCATTTTAACAAACTTTCAAAAAGAAAAAGTATCTGAAGTAATTATTCTCATATTCTGGAGTAAAGAATTAGTCTATTTTATCAATTGAAGTTACTGTGTATTCTTGTTTCATATAAAATAAAATTAGAAATTATCATTAGTGATCTTTATTTGAGACAAAACACCCCTTGCCACAAAAGTATTTGTGAGAAAGGAACCACACATTTATAAAACTTATCTCATTACAATGAATTCCCTAAATTTGCGGGGGTTATGGTCTTAGAGCACCTGTGGGTTGAAAATGGAAATTTTAGATATGGTCAGAAAAATGTCCATAAATGCCTATTTTTTTAGTTTAAACACTAAATATGCCATGTCTCCTGCAGTTATGTAATTTAAGGCTGTATTAATAAACACTTAGAAGTCATCTTAGTGATCTTTTGGTGGCATCTTAGGGATCTTGGGACTTTAAAAAGAACAAAATCGAGAACTCTGGAGACAGCTACACAAGGTACAGCAACTGGATTTGACGTGGGAAGGCTGGTGTATCTGCCTGAGATGGGTTGCAGGGCAGCAGCCAATCAGCAACAAGGAGAACTGAATAACACTCTCCGATTGGCTACTTGCAAACCTCCCACCGAAAAAGCAATTGCAGAGGATATTTGCAGTTTCCACAAAACTGCAGGGATTTCCAAGAACAATTATTAGTTAGGTTCTAAGGAAAAATCCACAAGTGACTGAGAGCTTGAACTCTGAACTTTGCAGGGGGATACTGTACCCTGAGGAGTAACTGTGCTGAGAAGTCAATTGGCAATGGACATTAGTAAATGTCCAGTCAGGAAAGTAGAAAGTGTTTAAGCTCTCTCAAACAGAAGAGACATTTAATTCAGAATTCTATTACACAGATATTAAAAAGGTCGGGGAGGATGAAAAACAGGAAGCCGAGGTAAGCTGGGGCCTGCAAGATCATGCTGAGGTTCAGTGATTCACTAGAACAACTCACCAGATTCGGAGAAGCTTTATTCTCATAGTTACAGTTTATTATGGTGAAGCTATACATAGTCGTACCTCAGTTAAAATGGCTATTGTCAGAGCACAAAAAATATGACATGCTGGTTAGGATACAGACAAAAAGAATTCTCATCCAGTGTTGGTGGGGTATAAATTAGTACAACCATGTTGAGAAGCAGAATAGAAGCTCCTCACAAACTAAAAATAGATCCAGCTGTGCCCCTGGAATACAGGTCCAAAGAGCATAAACTCCATGTAACAAGAGACCCTGCCCTGGAGTGTTTATTGCAGCACTATTCCAACAGGCAAGATGCAGATCTGCTGAGCTGTCCACCAACAGACGGACTCAGGGACAAAAAGAACGTGGTACAGATGTATAGCGGGTGCTGTTCAGTCATAAAGAAGAATGAAATGCGTCATTTGCAGCAAAATGGGTGAAACTGGGCTCATTAGTGAAACAAGCCAGAGATGGAAAGACAAGTGTTTCATGTTCCTCTGCTGTGTCGAAGTTTAAAAGAAACCAACTTGAGTTAGAAGAGAGACTGGGAGGAGCTGAGAAGAGGAAGGAGAAGGTGGAGAACAGAAGACTGAACTGTCACGCTGAACCCCGCCGGTGTGGACAGTGAACACAGTGTAATCAGAAGCAACACTGAAGGGTACAGATTTAAGCCAGCAAAGGGTCAGGGTAACTTGAGAGGCTTCTAGAAGAAGCCACGCCCAGGTCTCCTGTCCTCCCCAGTACCTCAGCACCTCAGAAAAAAAGCAGTGCTCCTCGTGAGCAGCATCCTCAGCCTGCGCTGCCTGATTAACCTGGTGCCTCAGTCCTCAGACATGCAAAACCAGGGCTGAGCCAGAAATCACACTGCGAGCACAAGCTCTCCAGTCAAGGCTTCTTCATTCCCTAAAGACCGATGTGTGAAGAAATGCTCTTATTAGGCTGAGTATTACAAGGGCTCGGAGGTCTCCCCAGAGCCCGCCACCAGGCATTTCTGAAGACAGACTCTTCCTGTGAGTGTGCAGAATTCCACCCAGGCCTCCCAGGTAATCGTTGTGCGTGAGAGGCCGCCGGATCGCCCCCTCCAGCACTGCTGCAGCAGAGGGTTGGGAGACATCCAAGATCTGCTGCTTAGGTCGCTGTAGGAAAGGTGTGGGAGGCGTCTCAGAACGTTTAGCTGTCCTTGTCCTACAGATAGCATAGCTGGGGCCGGAAGCACCAAGATGGAGCAGGTAGAGGGCACCTGCAACCCCGCTGGAGCACCCCCTTCAAGAACTGAGAGTCACATGCTTCCTTCGCTCCCAGCCTCCCCCAGGTTTTTCTATCCAATGCCAGCCTGGTCAAAGGAGTCTGAGAAAGTTGGTGAGGACAGCCTGCCTTCGAAGCGTCAGTAGGCAAAATGTCACCAAACGAACCTACAGAAAACCACTAGCTAACAACCGATTTCACATTTTTCAGACTTCTAGCCCAATAATGTTTTCACACAACTTGCTAGCTTGGTGGACAACAAAGAAGTGTCATATAGCTCTAGTTTTTTTGGGGGGGGGGCTTTAAAATTAGAATCCCCTCATAAAATTAAGATAAAGTATTAGAAATCTTTTATGCTTATCAACTTTCTCTTTGATCTTAGCAGATTCACAATTACCCCTGGTTTCAATATCTTTATCTGCAAAGTGAATGATAACTATGAGTTCACTGCAACTTAAGGTTTGAAATATCTAAGTAGGGCTGGGAAAAACTCAATTTGCTCAATTAGTAATGTGTTGAATTTACATTCTTTTTAACTCTTTGGATTTGGGTGACCACTTTTTGTTTTGCCTTCAAAAAAGCAGATTAAGGAAAATTTAATTAGTCTTTGCTCTGCAGGTAGAAATAAGGAACCAGAGAGATAGGGAAAGTACCACCTGCCCAGTCTGCCTGATGAATGATTTCTTCCAAGATTAATGTTTTTAGGTGAAAAGACCATCTGTTGTCCAAACAAACCTGCAGTCTGTCTGTTGGGGGCAATGTGTAACTGCTAGCACCACGTGTCAAATGCACATATATTTCCAAATTCCTTCCTATAAAACAACTTTACCATATATTGGCATTTGTGTCCATCCTTTGCTTATGGAGAAATAACCAGTCTGAAGTTTAGGTAATTTACAATAACTTCCAGAGACTTTCTAATTAATTCATTCTTTTAACATATATCTCACAATATGTAGCGAGAATCTATATGTATAACTTTGAAATGTACAGATTATTTAATAACATAGATATTATTTGCCCTTAAATTGAGTATTATCAATAGATTCACCTGCTGGTTTGCCCAAAGACATATTTATTCAATTTCCATCACTTTATCCATGGCATGATTAGAATCATTTAGGTAAGTTCCAAATACTGTATTTGTTTTTGTACTTAGGACTGTGTGTAATGAAAGAATTTCAAACTCAAACTTTGTGAGAATGAAATTTGCTGACAGTGAGTGCATTCTCACAGCATTACTGCAGCTGTGCAGAGGTTACTTCTCAAGGTTACAAATGCAATAATATGAACCCCAAGGTCCTTCTTACTGAGGAATGAATAACTCGTCACTCTTTGAGTGAAGAGAAAGTTCAGTGTTGAATTTCTAAAGTCTTTGGTGTGGAGCTCATCCTCGTGCCTGTGTTCGAGGCTGGAGTGGTTGGTTGTGTAGATTTTTCTGATGTGAAGAAGGACTTCATGACCAGCTGGAAAGGTGAGTGGGCTGCACTCCGCCCAGGACTGCAGAGCTTCCCCCTGTCAGACTCCAGTGTGCCCTCCTCCCCACAGTGGGGCCCTCCAGCCCCTGTGCTGCAGCACCTGTGAGCTCTTACGTACGCACCATTGACTTCTGAGCCACCTATGACAGAGAATCAAATAAAAAGGGATCATTTACTTCTTTGGGGGAAAATTCCAAGTAACTCTTATGTTTTATTCTTCAGTGTAAAATGGTATTTTTCCAAAGAATTTGTTTAGATCCTTGTCAATATAATATTTTCAAGATTTATTCCCTAGTTTAAAACAATAATTTGTATACATTTTACTGAACAAAGTTTATGGCCCATCTTTTTCTAATGTAAGGGGTCATTTATAGGACACTTTTATAAATCACAACTGTAACTATTGTTTACTTGTCAGATTTTGAACTTTATATCGAAACATGTTAAAAGGCTGTTACACTGGGTATTCAATTCCTCCTTAACTTCAGCACTTGATGGTCTTATCTCCTAGCTGATAGGTGAAATAAATGTGATCAATAGACATGTGCCTCAGGCAAGATTTGGAGTCTCTCTGAGTTTGTAGTTTAGTCTTCCATGACGAGGTAAAAAATAACTTAGGAAGAGATAGTTGGGTGAAAGCCAATTGGCTTATTAGGAAGACAGCTGCTCTATTTCATTCTCCACTAGAAACCTCTCTTGACAGTCCTCCTCTAATGATGTGTCTTCTTAGCATGTCAGCATTGAACCTCTATGTACGTTTTGAGAAATAGATGTTTTATGTGCTAAAGCTGGTTAGACTGTGCTGTGACATCCAGCTGTCCTGACTGCTACGCAGCAATGTGATGAACATTTTTTGCATTCTGTGTATGAAAAAGTTTTTAAAATCCCTCTCTCTCTCTCTCTCTCTCTCTCTATGTCTCTCTCTTCCTCTCATTGTATTAAGTGTGTGGGGCTTCCAATCAATTTTACAATACTGCTTTGAAGAACTGAGATACATAAAAAGATATTTCCGCTCAGGAAATCAAGATTCCCTTAGCATTTCAAGTCCCAAGATTTGGGTAGAAAGTTCATCTTGTTTCTCAAATTCAGTAACATTGTTGACTTGGATAGAGACTATTCCAGAAGGCCCCATGTGCTCACAGGAGGGGCTTTTCCAAGGGGGCTGATTCGGGGGAAGATAGGTGACTTGCTGTTAGAGTGGGGTCTGGTCCAAAGAGGGGCTCCCTGGGGGCGTGACCCGGAAGTCTGTATCTCCCTTCCCTGGCTCCTCCCTTTACTCTCTGCTTCCTGATGTCCATGCCCTGAGCAGCTTTTCCTCCACTCTGCCCCTTCCATCCCCCCCTTTCTACCTTGGAGGCAGCAGAACATGGACTGAAAATGTGAGGCAAAACAAACCTCTCCTCCTTTACGTTGCAGGTGTTAGGTTTTCTGTCCCAGCATTGAGAAAGTGACAAGACAAATGTCATCAAAAGGACACGATTATTTTATGTGTGTCAAAGAAAACAAACAATAAATGCATCATTAATTTGCCTATAAATTTAGGTGATATCACCTCTGTTTATTTCCCTCAATGGCTCAATCATATTTTAGGCACAGTATTTGCAAGATTTGCAAAAATGAGGAAATGCAATTGTTCTTCACTGTGCAGCTCCACTGCATACTTATGCTATGGTTCGGATTGTAAACATACCATGAAGACCACATGGTAAAAATTTGGTGTCCAGGCTGGGGTGCCACTGGAAGGTGAGACCTGGTCATGGGGTGCATGCTGGGCAGGAAGGGGACCTTGGGACCCTGCCCCTTCTTACCTCTCCTTTTGCTTTCCAGTTCCCAGTCTGGGAACAGGACTCCACCATGCGCCCCTGCCATGGACTGCCACCTCGCTACAGGCCCAAGACCAACAGAGCAACCAACCATGGACTGAAACCTCCAAAACCCAGAGCCAAAATAAACCTTTTCTCTTTTTAAGTTGATTCATCTCAGGTATTTGTTATAGTCATGGAAAGCTAGCTAACAAAACAGAAATGAATTGCACTGATTCACTTCTTTGCTACAACTACATTACACTTCTTCTCTAGTATTTGTATTATATTTTCAAATTATGAACCTTTATCCAGAATGGTGTCATTTATAGTACAGTGTATGAGCTTTTCACAGAGATCTTCACTGCATCCAATTCATTCAGTCCTTGATTAAAGATCTATAACTTAAGATCAATATTGACTCACATAAACAAAATCTCACTTGAAAGATGGAAAAAAGATCTAACAACACTAAACACTACAGTGATTCTGTTCTAGATAAAAGCCAGGATAGTATAATCAGAGAATCTTAAAATCAAAGTTTTTGAAGTGACTACAAAAGTAATGTAGCTTGTTTAGTGTCTTATCTGCCACATGCCTTCAAAGGATTTGGTAAACCCAAGCTTGAAGGCTTGTACAGAAGGAAAATATTGCTCCTTGTCATGCTGACTCAGAGCTCTACCACATCACACCTTTCCCTACTGGTGCTGTTCCAGCTGGTTGAGTTTAACAGAGTGATTTTGATCTCATCTTCCCCTGGCAATCTTATAGTCATTTGAGGAAAGGCATTGTACTCCCTTTTTATATGCAAATCTTTCAAAAAATCCATCATTTTTATATGCAATATGTCATCTTTGTAACATCATATTTGTAACACAGTGTTCATGCTGTGATCAAAAATGTGGTGAATGCTTAAATTTTAAAAATTCAGTACAGTAAAAGATTCATTGCATTAATTGACCTTAAAATACCCCCCTCACTTTCAACATGCTTACTCCATCATGGTTGCCTCTTTCTGAAGCTATTCCAGAATTCTCTTCTTGTAACTGTCTTTAGTTGTGCTGTCATGGCTGCCTCAATGTCCTGAAATGATTCAGGGTTTACTTTTTATGGTCATTTGGATTTGGGGAACAGTCAGAAGTCTCACAGTGTTAGATCCAGTGAATAAGGCAGATGAGGGCACACCGTAATGACACAGAAATTGCCACAAACATTGATCAATGAGATATGATCATGAAGTATGATGAAATTTAAAATTTAAAATGATTACAATAGAAGACATATTGTCATGAACCCTGAAAAATACTCAAAATACTCCTCCTCATTTTGAACATACATCCCGTTGTTCTCAGCAATGTATCTTTCACTGTAATAAGGTTTTTAAACGTAATATTACCCATGTCTCTTGGCCACCCTTCTTATTGTTTGTAACCAATACATCATGTTTGTAACCTCAGTTGGGATCCTAGTCCCGATATTCTGGGCTGAGCTACTTCCTCCTTTAGAAACTTGCTTTTCCATCACCAAAACCGGAATCTTGTTAACTTTAGTGAGACCCAATTACAGTCCTGCTTTTTACTGGACTTATTCCATCTAAAATCTGTCATGGGCAGGATAATGCCTGCTCTTCAGAGATGTAAGACACTATTTCCCAGCACCAGAGAACACGATATTTTACACGACACAGTACACTTCACAGATGAGTTTAGCCTGAAGACATTGAGAAGAGAAGATTACCCTTACTTACTGGTTTGGGACCTATGTAATCCCAAGGACCCTTATTTCAAGGAGCCAATAGGACCAAGTCAGAGGAGACTGAAGACAAAGGTGGAAATCAGAGGGATGCTATTTCTGGAAGTAGCCAACAGCCATGAGATGCTGGCTGCCCCTGGGGGCTGCAGGAGAAGAAAGGCTTCTTCCCAGGGCCTCCGGAGGGAACGCAGCCCTGTTGACACCTGATTTCATCTCCTCTGAGATTCAGTCCTTGCCTTCCCAATAGGAAAATAATAAATTTGTATCATTTTAAGCCACTAAGCTTATGGATACTTGAAATACCAAAGTTTTGGGAAAGTAATACAATTCCTAAGTCATCTGTGTGCACATTGCTTCTGACCCATGTGATATTTTTGCAATTTATTCCTACGAACTCTGTAAAGCAAGGTACATTTATTCTTTTTAGAGTGAGAGAATCATCTTATTTTTCCATTATTTTAGTACATTTTAAGTGTAGATTTTGACCTTATTTACTAGCTTTATCTCTGCCCAGTTTACCAAACCCCAACTTCAAAATATAATGGCTAACAATAAGAATATTCTATAAATAAAAGAAATATATATATATTGCAATTGAGAATTTATGTACAGCATGAATTAATATGTCACATGTCATGAAGTGTTTTGCATTCATCATCATTAATCCTCACATTCCCCACCTTCTCTTATGTGTGTTATCTCCATATACAAAATTACTAGACTGTGACCAAGTGTCAGTATTGTACCAATATTGTTATCACTGAACAACACTGTCATCTTGTAAATGTTGGAGGTGAGAATCAAACTCTCTTCTTGGTGTTTTATCTTTTTAAAAAATTTCTTAACATAATCCTATGAATAAAAGACTTGATATATTTGTACCCAGAATTTTCAAACAATACAATTGAGAGATTTTGTTTCTTAATCCAAATACATTTCTAGAATTTTTAATTTGGAATATGCAGGAGAATAGAATATGCTTCTCAAAGCCTTAAAACATGCAGGGTGAAATAGAAGTATCAACCATTACCTAATTTTTAAATGATAATTTCATTAACAAACTGATGGGCATTTGAGAACTTATCAATCAAGCCTTTATTTCTTGACCAATATATGCCAGCTGGAAGCCACATTTGTTTTAGTCTCATTCTGGATTAAAACACTTTAAGCTGACATGCATATATATTTTTTTTCCTTAAATTCTTTTATTGGTACACTTTAGGTATACAATTCATTTACATTTATCACTGGCTGTTTGTGCCTGTACATGAAGTATCTTGGTTCTTATTTTTTCCCCATTGCCTGTGGGCCCTTCACTCCCTCCACCCTTCCCTATGTACGTAGACTTCATTTCCATTTTTTTTTTCTTTCTCATAGTTTTTCCTTTCCCTCTTTTCCTTTCCCCTTCCCCTCCCTTCACTCCTTCGTCTTTGGACCTTTTTTCGTATTTCAAATTATCAATTATTCATTTTAATCATTTTAACCCTTATTTATACTTTCAGTTTCTCACACCAGAGAAACTATTCGGTATTTACACACTTGTGTCCTATTTATTTCACTTAAGAGGATGGGCTCAATATGCATCCACATGCATATGTTTTTTAAAGGTATTGTAATAGAACTTTCATCAATTCTAATTTAAACCTTTATCTTCAAAATGTTCTGGCCTCTGTAATTATTAATTTTGATCCTTAGGGAGATAGAATACAAATTTAAAGCAGAGATATAAAGCTATGGGGTCAGGGATTATTAGATGTGCTCCATGAGCAATTCGTTGCTATGCAACAAGCTTTGAACAGTAACCGAAAATGATTTTGTATAAAATAGCATTCTATATCCTAGCTGAACTCAAGCTGTGTATATATAAATAAGAAGTGTTCAGTCTTAACCTAGTTCTAATTGTATCTTAAAGCACTCTTAATATGTTCCCGGTTACATAAAGAAAGCATATTTCACGTCACTATGAATCACGTATTGTTGTAAGCTTTGGGTGCGTGTCTTGTCCATTTATCAGAAGCTGGCAATTCAAATATGAGTGATAGTATTTTTTTATCATCCACCCCTGAGAAACTCAATACACTACAAAGTTCTTTCTTCTATAAAATAAAACATTTATATTTTAGCAAAAAGTAAACTAAATATAAATCCTATCAACTCAAAATGTTAATGACAATGCATAATTCGCACTGAGCTTTACTGAAATATATGAGTTTGCCTGATAGGTATATGAGCAAATCCACACAAGGGTCTGGATTTGATAAAAAAAAAAAAAAAAAAAAAAAAAAAAAAACAAGACCTTGAAGGGCCGGGGGTCGGCTTCATGTGCAATGTGGTGAGTTCGATCCTCGGCACCGGAAAGAGAAAAAGGAATACGACATTGAAGTCAGTCCTCGCCTCTGCCCGTCGCCTCCCTTCAAGCCCGCTCTGCCACCCCAGCCCGGACCAGCCTCCGGCCCGCACACACGCAGTCAGAAGCAACCTCAGGGGCGATTCTCGCTCTCTTTAATCAGCACTGATTTCCCTTCCGGGGAAAAAATAATAAGATATTGTATGGTTTTATTTCTGAAAACCATAGGTATAAAAACATATGCACAGGCACTGTGGAGGAATGGGCCTATTTGCCCTGCCACCCATCCACACCAGCGTGATTTTCACGTTCCGATGCTTGCGCTCCCTGTGCATCACATGCAGGCGCTGAAGCCTGGCGCACGATGCGAGCTCCGAAGGGTGCACAGGGCCGGAAGGCTCCGCCGCCGGGAAAGGTGGGATTCGGGCCGGGCGAACGAGGAAGGCGGGGGCAGAACCCTGTCCTCCCAGACGCCGAATCTGCCAGCCTGGGTCCTGGGCCTCCGGCCGCTGGAACCACGAGGAACACACGTCTCTTTGTTTTTATAAAAAATGAAATTTCATAAGAAATAATACGAATGATAGTTAATACGTTCTCATTATCTCCAAAGTCGTTACTCAGAGCACAAGACACAGACAAAAAAGACTTACAAAGAAGAAACAGATAATAGCACAAAACTTTCTGTCCAATGAACTAAGAGAGACTAATGGTATAAATGAAACAATGCAGAATATATATTAAAACATTGCATGGTTTCTCTTATATGAGAATATATGGACAGACATATATACAAATAAACAGCAAAATAGAAGATAGATACATAGGGAAATAATCCCCCAAATTACCTGTTCCATTGATTTGAAAATATTTTAAGCAATACATTTCTGTTGTTCATAAATTACCCAGTTTAAGGTGTTATTGTTATAGCAGCCCAGACTAATACAATAAAGAATCAATGAGTGGAGGAAAAATACACATGACCATAAACATACATTACATTATATTTGCCAGAAGCATCTTAAATAACTGTTGCTTT